TGCTACTGATCACCACTATCATAGGGATATCATCTTTCGAGCAATGCCATGACATACCGCACTCCAAGAAATGGTACACATCAAGTTAAACAGGTTGGGTACAAATCAGAGATAAAGTTGCAAAATAAAGCAAATTTTCAGAAGTAAATGGAAAATTCAACTTCCTCTGTGCACTTGTAGACAAGAATAAAGGGATGAGAAAAACAATAAGAGGTTGCAACAGATGTGCTTAATTTAAATTTGATTGTATACATTACTATATATTGCGTTAGAGAGCATTGCGTATTAACTTTGTGAGAATATTGCTATATCTTATGAGGTCCAACGTGGCATCCTGGAATTTTCACAAACTCCTCGAACTCAGCTGACTTCTTACCAGGGCAACACTTCCAGTACTTGTACGTGTCCCAGAAGACTGGACCTTGTATATGGAAGCGGCATGATACATCCGAATTTTCATCTACGTTAAACACCTTGCCACAGCCAAAGTTACGGCATTTAGCTTGGCCATTAACCACTTCTTGTGGCTTGTCCTGATCATGTAGTGCACCTTCGAACTCACGAGGCCCAACAGTTCGCCTTTCTGTAAATGCGTCATTTTTTGCACCTAGCGCTTGCTGTTCGGCATGTGTCAATGGTTTGTTACTAATTTGTTCCTTCGGGAATTCGAACGGTTTGTTGCTAGTGGAGTGCCTCCCAATTTGACAAGTTTTTATGAGTTGAAATGATTCCCAATCGTATGCTTTTTTTTCGCTACAACATCCCCAGTACTTTTCCAAGTCATGGAAAACGGGGCCCTTGAGATGATAATGGCAAGCTTTATCAGAATTGTCCTCCTCGTTAAAGTATTTACCACACCCATAATTCGTACAAAGTTGTTCACCTTTATGGTCAGATTTAATGATTTCAACTTCCTTGTGAAGTATGTAAACATCGTTGTACTCGTGAATAAACCTCCCAATTGCATCCCCATTGTTTATCAGGATGCCGCCGCATTTTGCTTGTAACATTGAGGTGTCAAAATGTTCCTGTGGATGTTTCGGGGTGTACTGTTGAATGAAAAGGTTCAATAGCTTTTCGCACTTAGCATCCAGCCAAGAATCAGGAATATCCACTTTAAACTTATATCGATCCTTTAAATTGAACACCACATTTCCAGATGTATCCTTCCCTTCGTAAATGAGATAAACCTTCATTCACACTCACGACTATAGAAAAGGTTTAAGAAGGTAAATTTTCTAACTTTCTACAAAATTGGAGGGAAAACAACGCAGAAAGAAAAAAGTGGAACCATATTGAAGGATATGCTTCTAGATCATGTATATAGGATATTTTGGGAGATAAGTTCAGCATTTCCTTTCAAATGAAAAGTCTGGCAAGAAAATAGGGAAGGGGAGCCCACTCTTATATTGAAGTATGCGTTTTTGATAATATTCCAACCCATTTATAGTATACGTTCAGGGAGCTAGAATCAGGATTTCAGAGCATCAGGAAACATTAGACACCTCGCGAGTGATTTAGTGTTACTCTTAACTTTATTAAATTAAAGCGGCCCATAGCTGCGCATGAAAATACCAACGAGCCCGTCGCCCGCCCGGTCTTGACGAAGGTCGCCAGGGCCTTGGGTGGGGGGCAAGGTTCTTTCCCCCCACCCCCCCGGCCTGAGCCAAAGGAAAAGGCACCCCAGCTGGGCGACAGAAAAATTAAATACATAAGGGCCCATTTCTACACCCAGCATGCCACACTAAGAGCAAACACTAATTTTTATAGAAATATCGATAAAATGGAAAATATGAGTGCAAAACTGGAACCACGCCGATGGCCGCCAATACGTAAGTAGCAAAATATGAAGCCCGCCGGAGCAATAGCTAAAAACAGAAAATATAACTTAATCCCTTAAAAAAATTGAGGAATGGGATGTGGGGCATTGCTGAGAGCCAATTTCATACTAAAATTACCCAACCCATGCGGGTATAGAAAAGTGCACTGAACGCAATTGGTGGAATTATATAGCTCGTTGGGTCCATTCAACAATTTTTTACTCGATGACACACCAAAATAAAAGGAGGAGAGGGGGGGGGAGAGCTAAACACGAAAAGATTTTCAATACAACTGCCCCTGGCATCATGGCCCGCCTCTGCCCAAGTACAACGCATTCACCCAATAATATACGCTCCTTGGCTTTCTTGAATTGCCCATTATCACATATAATTCTGCATGACATTTTGCCCCCTCTCACCCAGTCGGACCTCGAGCGACGAAGCCTGCTCCACAGACCTGATCAGCCTTTTCATTCAATTCCCCCCCACACCTGATGCTTCGAGAGATTCCCTGAACACGTGGGACCTGCCGCCGATGCCCCTTGGGTCTCCCTTGTTCCCACAGAAGTGTCAGAAGCTATAAACTGTCGCTTTATGTCCCTTCTATTGCTGATGATGCCACCGCTTCTAACGATGCACACCACCTTCACTACGGCACTTTTCTTCCCCTTGACAGTTCCTATGCAAGGCACCCCTGTGCCTAGTTTTGGATGGGCTGGGTCCCAGGGAGCGCGTCTAGGGCAGAGCCTCAAGACGAATACCAGCACAGGTATTTTGCAACCGCACTGCATTCACCTGAGGGATGACCAACGTGGCGTTCAGCATCGTGCTGGTCTAAT